AAGTCAATAAATCACTAAAACAATATTACCTAGAAATATAGAATAGAAAACCGGAAATAATCGTTTCTCTTCAGAACAGCGTACTAGAAAAGTACGACATGTGCACAAATAAACGTATATATATATATATATCATTAAAATAGTCGAAAGGATATTGAGCAGCGTCGTTTTTTTTGCTAACATCGCTTTTTATTGATGGAAAATGACAATACATGCATATAACAGAAAAAGCAAAGCAAAGTAAAATAAAACAAAACAACGTACAGTATTGTCGGAAAAAAGCTGAAAAGAAGAAAAAAGGATACCCATGACATTAGTCTTTTGTCTCGGAGTTTGATTTGGTTGTTTGATATTGCTGTCTATAATGTGATGATAGTGTGGTGTTTGTAGTTGTCGAGGACATCTAATTGATGGGTCTTCATTGTATCATCGTTGTTTCATATTATATGTGAAAGTGAACGATAGGAAACAGACATAGCTGAGTATATAAAAACGAGTCAGCAAATAGATTGACCCATTTCTCGTTATGTATGAGACAAACTCTATGTATGCGAGTCCGATATAACAATTGTCATACAGATTTGATTGACCCAACGATAGTCAAGTTTCTCGAGGATGATATTCTATTAATAGGAAGGTGATTTTGTTCATTTAATTTTGTCAAATATATCTTGACGACCCATGTCGTATAGAACGACTCGTAAAAGATCCTATACGACTAAAAACGGCAACCGTTACGATGACCAGCAACGAAGCGCCGGAAAACAATGTGATAAGGCGAAAAATGGTTACCTTTTAGGCGGCAGTTTTCGTGTTGTCTGAAACGACTACCTTATAAGGCGAACGTTTTTTACCGTTCTGCATCTCTTTTATTCTGAGATATAAATATGGGTATAAAATAGATAATTAGACACTGTCGACAAAGTATTTTATTTCATTTTATTTATTTAGTTGTATTTTAATCTATTCTATTTAATTTAATTAATTTAATTCTATTTTATTTTTTTCGATTATTCTTTGGATTATTCGGTTTTATTTGATTTATTTGATTTTTTAGGTTATTGCATTTTATTTTGAGGAATAAAATATAAATGGCCAACGTAATACACATTTTAAACAGATAAAAAACGACGAGATTGGGACGATAAAGGGCGAAATTAGAGTCCTTTTATCTCTCGACCCTTTTCATCGGAAACGGCCTTAAACGATGTCGTTAACGTTCCGAGGAAAAACGGTCCATAATCAGAGCTGACGGAAAACGGCTGAAAAACGGCGATCGTTTTTCATCATTTAGGGCATTAATTACGCTGTTTCTTGACCGTTTCAGAGCGTTTAATGCCATCTTTCAGACGGCCTGAATGATGGATCTGGGGATGGGTCTTCGATGTAATGTCATTATTTGTTGTTGCTGTTTGAATAGTCTGTTTTAGTAATATTGTTGTATAATCTTTTATTTTTGGGATATTACTAATTTTGTCGATGTAGTCTACTGATGTACATATGTGTAGACTTAGTGCAGTTCGAACTGGTTTATTTTGAATAATCTGGATTCGATTTCATACGTTTTGATCAGCAGCTAATAGTACATAGAGTAACCATACATAATGATTGTGCGTGCTATCGACTGGAAGATGTGTTTATTATCGTCCTGTTATTCGGTTCATAAGCTGTTCTCGATAGATATCGAAGAAGACCGATCCGTGGAGCAATCTTGGTTTCGATATGATCAAGATGTCTTCGCCAATTTAATCGCTGGTCTATAATGACACCCAAGTATCTTGTATGATCCAGGGGTTTTATAATTGTATTACTAACTTTAACTTCTACTGGACGTTTACATTTCTTCCTTGGATGAATGGTGAAGTGGATCATTTCTTTTTTAGTTGGTTGCAATTTTAATTTCTATGACTTGCACTAACTTTCGAATGCATCTATGGATTGTTGTAGTCTGAATGTTAGAGATGCCATGGCGTTGGCTGAAGTTCAAAGTGCTGCATCATCGGCGAATAATCCATGTTTTGTATGAGTCGGTATTTCATTCATCGCATCTGCCGTATATATATAATATTATAATAGTGGTGATAATGGAGATCCTTGTGGAGTACCGCTGTTTACGTTGAATTGCCTGGATAGAACATTTTCGATTTCAATTGTGGCGGCTCTATTTTTTAGAAATGATGTATTTAGGAAGTTGAAAATCATTTAATTTGTATATCAGACCGTCGTACCATACCGAATCGAATGTAGCTTTGATATCGAATAGAATAGCCGCTGAGTGTCGTCTTGGACGAGCACATCGAAGTTGGTTCTGAGCGTAACGTTCTAACCTCAGAATGTTGTATATTGTGCTTTTCCCTGATCTGAAGCCAGCTTGCTGTTCTGGTAAGATGTTTCGTCGTTCGAGTTCAAGCATTAGTCGCTGCTTGATTATTTTCTCAAATAGTTTGCCTAAGCAACTAAGGAGAGTAATCGGTCGATAGTTAGACGGATGTTGCTTGTCTTTCTTCGGTTTCAATATAGGTAAGTATAATATTAGTCGTTTTCCGCTTCGTTGGAATATAACCTTGCTTTAGAATTTGATTGGACAATTTACATAAGATCATTATTCCATAGCATCAGTTGTGGGTGTGGGTGGGCAAGAATAGCAGTGACACACTATCCGACACCCACACCCACCCACGCACACACCCAGTAAGATTTTATTGATCAAAAAAGTAAGATGATTCAATTATTCAAATAAAAAATAAAACATGTTCGTCAAATGATAACTTCACTAATCGATTTATTTAATTCGAATTCCTGGAAAGATTTACCTGAATTAACAAATGGAGATAGAAAATTTTGTCCTTATTCATGTTTTATTCGTTGTTTCTCTTGTGCAACTGTTTTAGAAGTTTTGTATGATTTTATAAAAGCTTAAAACTTTATATTTGATTTTTCTCATCAAAATTATTTCTTCTATTCGAATTAGTCATTTAGTCGCCCAGGTCGAGCAGCCCTGCCTGGAAACGGTCGGTTTCAGTTATTTCATTGATTTTGTGGAAGCAGTATTCCGGTTGGAAAATTTTCGGATTTTCTCCGATGATTTCCGATCAATTTTTGCTGGAAAGCACAGGAATTTGGCAGGAATCCACCAGAATAGTTCGGTCGTATTTTTGATCGGAATACTGCTTCCAGGTTCAGCGATTTCCCGTGTTTTCCTGCAGGATATTATGGCTTTCCCGCATATTTCCTGGAGTATCCTACGGTAGCCGGTAGCCGGAATGTTCGACTTGGGCACTTTCATTTTGATTTTATTTAATAAATTCTTATTGTAATTTTAATATTAATACTAATTCCATTTTTTTTCTTATTAAGTAAAAATTCGAAGTTATAGTAAGAAACAAATAAGTTCTAACTTGTGATTAAATATTTATAAAGAAAAATATGTTTTGCTAAGTTGCTTTATTTATTTATGCTTATAATTGCTCTTGTTAATAATACTACTATTAAGTTTGCCACTTTCGTTCGAAAATTTCCATCGTTGTATAGTTTCAGTTCTCTTTTTGTTTGAAAATTTGTGCTAAGATATAAGAAAACATTGACTTTTTTTAATTCTCCACTTTTAAGTTGCCTTTTTGCAGCCTGTTCGGTTCTACTTGGTCAATAGCGCAACATAGAGCATAGTATGCTGTTCAATTAAACCTTATCTTTATCATAATTTTCAATCTTTTTCAAAACAATATTTTATGAAATTCACGTACATTTTTAAAGAAATATATAAGGCACAACTTTGAAAGAGTTCGATTTTCGACTCTCTTTCTCTTTTCTTTTACAAAGAATAACCAATTATTACTGGAAAATTATTAAATCATTAAAAGAATGAGTTTGAAAAAAAAGGGAGATACTAGTAAATATGGAGAAAAGGTTTTTACCAGCGTAGAAATAAATTAGAAAGATTTTTTTCTCTGGTGATCAATTAATTTAGCTTTGCTTCAAGGAAATGTTTTTTCATCTTACGCATTTTTATCGATCTATCGAGGCTAAAAAGATATTAGTAAAGTGCACATTTTTGCTCGAAACGGACTGCGCTACAATCTCCTTTTTCATTCTATGATAGCAGATTGGTTCATTTGAGCTTAATTTCTGATGATATTAACGAATATAGAGTGCTGCAAATATCAGTTTTACTGAAGAGATTCAATTGAGAAAAAATTTAACCATTTCGAAAGGGTATTTTTGCAAATTTATATTAAGTTGATTTTATACGACATAAATCATCTACAATGTGATCCAAAACAAATTAAAAGAAAATATCTATTAGGATATTCAACAAAATCTGGGATTTGGATGGGTGTGTGGATGGACAAGAATAGCAGTGGCACACTATCCGACACCCACACCACCATGTTTTCCTACTCGGTCATTTCTGAAGATGCTGTAACCCAAAAGAGACAACGGTCGTTCACTCTTTAGATTAGTTTCATTTACAGAGATGACGTCGTATTTGGAGAATCTGGCTAGGAGTTCAATTGTGTTTCGTAATAGAGTTGATGTTAATAATTATGACAGATACTAATCATTATTTGTATTTGTTTTGCGATCTTTGGTGTCTATTACCATCGAGTCTAATGAACTGTCGAGAAATCGATTTCTTTTGGATGTTTTTGCTGTTGACTTTTGTTTGAGTGTTGGCTTCTTTATACTATCATTAGTTTTGATAGATGATTGTGTTGACGTTTTATTTGTATCTGTAGCCGTTGATAGTTTCTATGTTGTAACAGCAGATGTAGTAGCTGGTTTATTATCTTGTTTCTTTGGTTTTATTGTAGTTGCTGCATGTTGTTGTTGTTGTTGTTGTTTCTTGTTTTATGATTTAATATATGCATTTCTTCATCGCTATCCAAGAATGATGAAGATGATGTTGTATCATCGTTGATTAAAGTTTCAACTGATGGAATAGTTTGTTCTATTTTTTTAATCGTCTGTTGAAGTGATTTGAAGACTCTTTGGTTTTTTCTTCAATATTTGTTTTTCATTTTAGTGGTAAGTAGATTAATTAATCCATCGAATATATCATTATGAAGATGACCTTGTTGACGTTGATACATGTTTGGTAATGATGAAAATTCATTGGTATCATGTATTAATGGTATTAGAACTGTTGGGCTGCTTGTGGACGAATATTGGTTAATTAGATTTAACATTCGCTTTTCTTGTTCAAAAAATTTAGGACAATCATTAGCAGTGGCCAAATGTTTACCTTTACAGTCGCTACATTTAATTGCATCATTTGGAGCAGTACATTGTTCTATACGGTGGTTATCACCGCATCTAGTGCATATTTGCTGTTTTGTTTTACAGTACTTAGCTACATGATTGCATTGAAGACAAACGTAACACTGTACCGGGTTTTATTCTGTGATGCAGCGTCAGCATTAAAGTGCATCGAATTCACTTGTAGACCAGTGTGTATAAATGTGTTTCGATTATGTGCATCCTTGAATGTATTTGTAATGGTGCTTGCTGGTATATTGCCATCTTTTTTGTTTAATCGAGTAACATTAATAACACCAAGACCAGCTTTCGTTAATACTTCGAGTATTCGATTTTCTGGTATTTCAAGGTCAACTCTCTTTACGAAAGCAACCATTTCTGTATCCCTGATTCTTTGGATTGATCGAGGAACAAATATTTTTGTTGATCGTTGGCCATTTGCAGTGAGGATTAATGTAAATTCATTTAACAGGCGATTAAATGAGATAACACCACTACACTGTAAAAAGAAAGGGTTTATGAGAGTGCAGCGTGACACATACCCTTTTTTCCATTTTTAAAATATTTGATAAACCATTTTCCAAATCATAAACCTAAAAACCGTTTATTATCTTCGTCATATACGGAAAAAAGGATTTATGATACGTTGCACTTTCATAAACCCTTGTTTTTGCTAAATACCCCATCAAAAACCTTTTTTTCCGTTTATTATTCTGCAGATTTTTTTTACAGTGTAGCATATAATGTAAATGATCCAGATCGACTAAGTTGGATATCATGAATTTTAACATCATTTAAGTGCTGCTTTAATAAATCATTAAGCTGTAGCTGGCCCATCTTAACTACCTCTATAATGAGAGGGGCAATTGTAAGTTTTAATTGAGTGAATTTTCCAGCTAATTGCGGCCTTTCAATTTCAACTGTCCAAGACAATCATTTCGACCGTCGGAACGAGTATCTGAAAAGGTCTGAAACGACTATAAAATGGCTATAAAACGGTATAATAAGGCATTCATATTCACCATATTTCGCCGTTATCCGTCAGCTCGTTTTACGGACCGGTTTTTTTCGCTAGAAAACGGTCATCGTTTTTAACACTATATTCGCCGTTTTCCGAGCTGACGGAAAACAGCGCCGTTTTTCAACGTTTTATATCGTTTTTACGTCATTTACGCACCGTTTTCTTGAACATGGGTGGTTGATGACCATTTTTAACAGCTGATTGACTAAGCTGGTTATCGAGGCTTTGGTTTCTCTGCTTACCACCGGCAATCCCGCCTCCTGTTTTCGGAGGCATTTCCGAAGAATACCTAGAAATTGTATATGAGTCCTGACTCAAATACTGATGAAAGAAAACTTCTAAAAAAAACACTAAAAATAAATCGAGAAAAAGAGGAGCAGAAAATCAAGGTCACTCACTCAGGACAATCATTCCGACCGTCTGAACGAGCATCTTAAAAGGCCTGAATCTGTTATAAAACGGTATAATAAGGCATTAAGTTTCACCTTATTTCGCCGTAATTCATCAGCTGGTTTTAAGGACCTTTTTTGCTAGACAATGACTACCGCTTTTACGCCTTTTACGGCATTTTACGCACCGTTTTCTTGGACATAGGCAAGTGCGAAATACCGAAGAATTCAACCGAGAGGCCTAAAAAAATACGACTGATCGCTAGCTACTCGGAAAGACTGATTACTGAGCAGCTTGAGAATATGAAAATAAAGCGAGAAAAACAGTGGTATTCAATATCTTAATAGGATGTGAGAAATGATTATTCATGCACACGCTACGAACAACTTTTCAATTAGCAAATGCAGAATGAATGGTTCCGACAAAATGAATAGAAGGTAGATAGTCAAAACTGTTCTGTCTTTAAATTAAGTTTCGATCTTAAGTGAAAAGAAACAAAATTAAGCATCCAGTGCACACATTTTATATTAATTATTTGTCAAAGTTTTGATTTAAACATAAAAGGAAATTTATTTATCACATAGAAATTTTCCGTCACAACAACTGTTTTCGCATTAATTTTTATTTCTGTTGATCTGTTTATGAAAAAGACGCTTTTCTTTTACATTATTAATTTAGTTGTAAAGTTCTTGTTCCTTTTGACTTTATGTCTGAACTTACGAGAAATAATAACTTCTACATAATATTCAGGACGAACAATCCGATAGTTGGATTCAATCGGATTTCGATCGGTTCCTGCAGGATTCTAAGTAAATCCGGGTTGTGGACCCACTCACGGATCCCTAGTGTTTGAATTCGATCGATTCTTGTAGCAATTAGTCAAAACCCGATAGGCTTCTTTGGGAACCCCGTTCGAAACTGGCTCCTGAAATTCCTATCGAATTCAGTTGTTGAGTTTGATCGGATGTTCACCAGATTCCAACACTAGGAATCCATTAGTAGTTCCTCAACCTGGAATTCCATGGATTTTGTCGGCTCGTCGGTGTAACGAAGAACTGGATTGGAGTAGCTTGTGCCACTCTCGGCAAAGATGTTTATTAGGCTACTTCAAGTATCAAGAAGTCTAACGACAAAACTAGAGAGTGTCGCCTATGCCCGTCGGCATGATGATGTATTGTGTCATCTGACATCTCTAGCTGTGTAGCAACTTCATACATAACACACGTATATATAGGAGAGATATAGAAGAGAGACGGGAGAGAGATACATTAGAACAATGGAAAGAGAACAGAAAGAGAAGGAAGGAGAATCACCGAAGCGCGCCATCAATATCGGCACAGTCGGATTTTATAAAATCCGATCGGATTCGGTATCTGATTCATTCACCTGGGTAGTGTCTGGTATCAAAATATCTTTGGGACTTAATGATATAATCATTTGATATGATGATGGATCATAACGAAATAATAATATACGATTGTGTAATAATTTTATGTTTTGATCAGGACACTTCAATGAAAAAGAAAAAGAAGAAAATTTAAAAATATAATTGTTCTGAATCGTTTTATTTTTACAAACCATTGTTTGAATAAATCGAATAGCAACTTCGCATAATGTATTTATTGTTGAACTAAATGGATTCATGGTTATTGCTACCTGTTGATGCTAGTCACCGAATTTAAGTTCAAATGTATAAGGTCTAGTACGAAAATCTGTTGACAAACATGCCGTAGAAGTATTTATTACTTATTAATGTTGACTAAATAATACACAGAATAATAGTTTGATTAGATGAAATATTCCTCTTATTTTTTTTGTTTCTTGTTTGTTTACTTTTAATTTGCCTATGAAACGTTCAAGATGGAAATTTTCGTTTTGCTCTTCAATACATTATTCATTGATATGTCAAAAACAATCTTTTTAATAGTTTTTGACAAAAAATTAATCTCAAGCGACATCTTCATTCATTTATTTGATTTGTCAAAATGATGATGATGAAAGAAATGAAATATTGTGCAGTGCAAGGGAGTCAGTCAGTGATTTCATTAAGTTATTCAATCAAATCCAAATATCTGTCACTGCTGTTTCGATTCTGAAAATGGAATTAACTTTTCTTGGTACCGGATCAAATAATCCAAGTCCTCATCGTGGCGCATCAAGTCTCGGTAGGAAATAACTTATTAAAAAACCGAAAAAGAAACTCGACATTCTATTCTAAAAGCTTTACGTATCAGTGGCACAAGTAATATATATTTATTTGATTGTGGTGAAGGTACACAAATTCAAATTCAACGTTCAACAATACGTGCATCGCGTATAACGAAGATTTTTATAACACATCTTCATGGTGATCACATATTTGGTTTACCGGGACTTTTATGTACTCTTTCAGCAGGTGCATCATCAATGTCACCTTTAGTCTTTTATGGACCACTCGGTTTAAGAGAATTCGTAGAAAATACGTTAAGATTATCATATTCATTTCTTTCGTATAAATATGAAATCATAGAATTAATACCAAACACGTATGATGGCGTGGACGAAAGTATCATAAAAACAACAATTGCTAAACAAGAAAAAAATGAAAATTGTAGAACATTGAATATCAATGAAGATGGACGATATCATTTAATATCCAATGAAGATAATTGTTCAGTTTATGCTGTTTCTATTAGACATCGTGTACCATCCTATGGGTAAAAAAAATGAATTTTTACTAATTTAATCAAATATTTGGAACACAAGATATGCAGGATTACCTTAATTCACTCTTCCTAGAAGAATCCAAAGGGAATCGTCTGAAGAAAATGAATTAAGATTTAGAAGATGACAGGAAAGTTTCACTTAAATGTTTTGAGAATTTTAGTAAGCTATTGTATAATAATAGCGAGAAAGAAAAAGTAACATTTATCGGTTAAGCCAAACAAAACATTGATATTGGTGAATACATTGTGAATTTCTTGTTAGCTAATTCTGAAACAGTTCTCACTACGCTAATCCACTCTCTTCAGACGACTCCCCGGGGGACTTTTTAGTTGGGGGGACTCCCTGGGATAATTGATGAGATATCTAAATAAAATAAAAAAAACTCTTTCATTTTTTTTTAAATGTTAAAAAATTAAGAATTCATTAATAATTAGATTTTTCATCGATTCTCCCTGGGTAGTCCCCGCAAAACAAAGAAATCCCCAGGGACTCCATGTCGTGAGTTCCCGAATATTTGTCAGGGGACTGCCTGGTGATTCTCCTAGGGAGAGTAGACTAGGGTAAGCTAGGAGTAGAATCACCAGATCAGATTCAATAGAATTTTGACCAAGATAATAGAAAAGGAAATTCTTGCCACTAGTCATTAAAAAAAAGATTTATTCTGTATATTTTTATTGAGTAGTTTAGTGTGTGTGTGTGTGAAAGAATATCTAGAGAAAAAATAAATTATATTTGATTTAGCTATAATATTGATTTATTTCTTTTCTCTCTAGGTTTGTCATAGTCGAAAATGATCTTCCGGGAAAATTTGATATAAAAAAACTTCAAGAATCAGGTATTAAACCAGGTCCTTTTTGTTCTCGTTTAAAAAATGGTGAAACTGTTACCATTGATGATGGTCGGATTCTTTCTCCAACAGATTTTGTTGGTCCATCACGACCAGGTCGTTGTCTTGTTATACTAGGTGATTGTTCTGATGCATCAAATGTAATTCCATTTGCTCAAAACTGTGATGTTGTTGTTCATGAATGTACACATGATGATAATCTTCTTGAAAAAGCTATTGATTTTGGTCACTCCACACCATCGATTGCAACATCATTAGCTGAAAGATGTCATGCTAAATGTTTATTATTAAATCATTTTAGTCAACGTTATAAACCGAAATCTGCGATAGAATCAAAAACAGTAGAAAATGAAGAAAATAAAAACAAAAGACAAAAGCGAAAAGAAGAAGATAATGATGATAATAATAATAATGATGATGATGAAAATCTAACAGTTGATCTTCTTCTGGAACAAGCAAAACAACATACAACAATACCTGTATTCATTACTGATGATTTCTTTACTTACACTATTCCTTTACCGAAATAAAAATAAAGCGTATTTATGCTTTATTTTTCTATTAAAACATTTCTAAAATTATCATTTATTCTAGATGGATAATGATAATACACCACCATTTGCAATAAATCTTCCGCCACCAGATCGGTTTGAACCAACAGCAGTTGTTGCAAAACTTGAGCCAAATCAACGACAGATCAATTTACTTGTCATTGTTTTACGTATACAAGCTAATCCTCAAAAAACACGTGAAGGACATGAAATACATTCGTTTAAAGTTGCTGATCGAACTGGTTCAGTTACACTAAATGTTTGGAATAATACAGGGAAATTAATCTCGCCAGGAGATATACTTCGTTTACAAAATTGTATAACACAAGTTTTTAAAAATGAACTATGTGTTAAACCAGGAAGAAGTATGATAATTTTTTTTTCACATTATAATACAAAAGACTATTATCGGCTTTTAGATGGAATCGTAACAAAAGTTGGAGAATTCATGATGGACTTTAAAGAAGAACCAGATATGAGTATTTTTTCACCATCGATGGAATCAATTAGTAATGTAAATAAAAGAACAACACCATTAATGTCTTAAGCTGCAGATTTATTCGTTACAAATATAAATAAAAATTTACTAAACTATTATTGTTTACTTTTTATTGTGATAGATTATTGAAAATTCGTTAAAAATATTATTCTAATGAGTAACATCAATATCTACGGAGAATATACGTATTTATGAATTGTTAACATACTATGGGAAAACGAAATAAAAACAACCACGATCTTTCTGATTATGAACTTAAATAGCTCTGAATGAAAATATAGATATAGTCGATATTGTTTACTATTCTAAAATAATTTAGCTACATTATTGAATTCAAAACATGCTGACAGGTCAGCCTCCACTCCCGAATTTCGAGTCTACAATAAAAAGAAGACTAAAAAATAGCACAGAAAAATTTTACTGGAGTAAATTCTTATTTACATCAAAAATGGAAAATAACGTCCGTTTGTTTAGAAAACAAACCTTTTCTTATCAAATAAAAGTCGCGACTAATTAGTTTTTAGTTTACCTTTAATTAAACAGATCTATATTTACAATGATACTAATCGAAGAATTCAGACTGAGCAATAAAAGTATTGTTATTTTTTCATGCATTATTTTTCAAACAATAGTTCATTCATTTCTTGTTGTAATTCCATAGGAGAAAGTTGGATGATCCATTGTAAAAACTAGTTTCTACGTCGGTTGTGCGAAAGTTTTGTTGAATCATTGATCTAAATGTGAATGCTTTGTTGATGAGACTGGTTTCTTGTATTCGTCTAAATTGTTTGAGATTTATCTGTCATATTATTCAATCTCAGATTTTGCTGAAGATCATTTCTTTCATTTTGTGTTCTGAGACTATTTCTACTTTGAAAACTCACATATACTACCTAATTAGCAGAAAATAGCCAAGAATATTTCGATTTCACATTTTCTAGATAAACAGTTTTGTACAATAGAATAAATTTGATCAATCATCTATTTTTTTCCTGATAATGTTATCGACTAGATACAGAAAGTCTTTATTGAAATTAGTTTACGTGTATGAAATCTTTAAATGAAAGCAAATCTAGAGTAAACCTTGAAACAATGAATTTCTCGAACATCGAAACCTCGCCAATAATATCTTGAAATCAATTGTACAAAGTCTAGATTCAGCATAACTTGATTGAAACGTAATAGAAGTATGAGCTCGTCTTAGATTGCTACTGGAACACTGTGCTAGCAATAGATAAAAAACAAATCTTTCAAATCGACTGGAAACATCAAAAAGAAGTTGTATCATTGATTTGAATAGTGAACTGAGAACATAGTGCTAAACTCATAGATTGACTTTTCGAAATATTAAAACGAATCTTTATACAGTTTTTTTTATCAAAAAATTAGATTTGTTTGGATCAAGAATGATAGGAAACGCTTTTTAATGCTCTCTCGAAGGACTAAACAAAATTAAACATTAATACTCTTGATATAAATAGATTTCACTTTACTGCTAAATAAAACATATTATTTGTTTAGAAATGGTCTCATTACTTTCTGAAAAAAATAGACAGTAACTTTCTGAATTTATATTCAGAATCAGATAGAACACTGGTGAGAATCTATAGTATTTAATCCATATAAAATACTTTCAAAAACTTCACAGTGATCTGCTGATGTTAATATTCATTTTTTGTAATTTAGACAACACGAACATCTTAGATTTTGTAAAATTATTATGAAACTTATAAAATAAATCTTTAATAAGATCGTTCATTATTCATTTGTTGAATCAAAACGATAAAGAAATTTGTAGTTAATGACTATTGCAAGCATTAGTCTATCTGATTGTAGAACATTGATAAATGAATTTCAGTTCGACCGTGATAAAGACTCTAGTAGCCGATGGATTTTCATTTATGAAATAGTACATTAACGATAAAATTGGACAAAGAATATATTAGGAAGTCATTTAAAAAGTTTGTCAATTATGTTTGAATATTGCGTTTAGCAATGTGTTTTTCTTTATTGGATGTCAGTAATGAATCTTTTGCTCAAAAGCACTGAAATAAATTGTTTTTTATTCTGTTTATTTCCTCTTTCCATATGAGTATCTGAATGTATACGATACAACAAAATGTACAAAACGATTGAAATTAAGATAAGATTGCCTGTTAAAAAAAACATTATACTATCAAAATTTGATCTTTTAAATGAAATTTTTCATATAATTATTCTAGATATGTATTCAGTTTTTCAACATGATAATCAGTTTATACAATCATGTTTTTCGTTCAAAAATTGTTCCGAAAGCTTCTGAAGTTTTACGATGTTATATACGACACAGAAATTATCCTTCATGGACATCATATTTTATACATCAATATGATTGTTTAAATGATCAATTTGGTCAAAGTCATTTTGAATTTGATGTTGATGGACGAAATTACCATGTATTAAGAACAGGTACGCTCGAAATGTTTCATTTTTCGTTTCTTAATTTTCTTTTTTTGGTTCACTTGAACTTTAGGATGTTTTCCTTATATAAAGTATCATTGTACACAACGAATAAAAACAAATGATCTATCCTATGAAAATCGACTTTATACATTTTTTAAAATATTTAATTTAGGTATACCAACATTGATGTATGGCTTAGCTGCTATATTTCTTATTCGTTATCACGAAACTATTAATATAAATCAATATGGTCCCGTTAAAATTTATTTTCTTATAAAAGAAAATTATGGTGCTTCATTCTGATGATCAAAAAGCATATCATAATTATTTCATTTAACACCATGAGAAAATATCATCACAATACCTGGTTCACTAACTAAATAAAAAATTTTAAGAAAATATTCTTGTTTTTTTTTATTTCAATCATTTTATCTTACTCATTGATTGATTCATATGTCGATTATCACAACTAAGTACGACTATTGCTTGTTCACCAATAATTCGTCGACATACATAACTTTCATAGTGTCGTCTATTTATTTGTCGAGTTTCTATGTAGAGATTTTGAAGAAAAAAAAAGAATTTGATCTCAGATAACTTATTAGACAAAAGAGTGGGATTATTAACCAAGTGTTGAAAGTCCTTGCGGCCAATGTCGTTCATGCGCATTTTCTATCAGTTCATTTGTTATCTGAATTGGACAACCACTTTCCAGTAAAGCTTCTTTTATAGCATTTTGTAAAACAATATCTGGAGTAGATATCATTCCACCCCAATGAGTTACACGAGCTAATTGTAAACTATTTGACCAACTAAAACAAGATAAAAATGTTTTTTAATTACCTAGTTAAAATTAAATGTACGAAAAAGATTGTTTTTTTTCTATTACTTTTATAGATTAGGAATTAATTAATTTTAATAATCTCTTTCTATTAGTCTCATTAATAAGTTATTATTATCATCGTAAAACAAGAAATCTTATTGACATAATATAAGTTGAGATCAAATTCATGTTAATTGTCAATGAAGAGAAGATATTGATTTCAAGCATAAAAATACGTATAACATGAAGTGAAATACTAATTGTAAAACTTTTCATGAGAACAAAAGGTCAAATATAAATATCTTTAATATCATATTTTCTGGAAACTAAAAATTTCTATACTAGTAGATTACATTTACAATTGTGTGTTTGTTTTACATCAAGGTATTTTATTGGAAAGTTTAAATGCTGAAAACTCAATTTTTCCATACTATCATAAGAGAATTTAAACTTTTAAGTGGCTAACGATGAGAGTTGAAGTTTTTATGACAATCTTCAATAGGAACGCTTTGTTCCATTGATAAGTTATTTACATCAGATAGAACTTATATTTCATTAAGTCGAAAACCTATGGATCAGTGTTGTACAATAGAAAAGAATAGTCTGAAATATTGCAACGGGAAAATAAAATCCTAATTTGAAAGCTAAATATTTTGTTTCTTGACGAAGATTGGTCAAGATCAATCGTAGCTAGTCACCATATGTGAACATCATATTCTTGCATAGAATATTGAGATATTATTGCACATACCATAATACTTGATTGTTTTCTACACATTCAAAAAAACATGATATTGTTGGATCATTAGCACGAGTAACACGAATGAATTCCTTCAATTCACAAATAAAAAAAAAACAATTTAAAAAAAACCAAACATGATTTTACCTGAAGTGTAGATATTTCCGTTTTATAAAAATCTACATCTTTTTTATAGTTTTCTAATGCATTTTTAACATTTTGAAGTTCACTACTCAATGCTTGAATACAATTATGAGCCTTTTATTTTTAATAGAGAAAAAAACTTAAAATTGAATCTTACTCTATAAATAAAATCTTACTTGAAAGTTATCCTTTGAAATTAACATTCCACAACCATTTCCACATTGAATTACTTTATTTTTAGTATACTCACAATCAGCCAAATGATTAGTAAGAACTTCTAATTTTACTATGGTCGTACAACCTTCATTTTCACACCTAATATCTAAACTAAAAATATGATCATAGATAGAACTGTCTTTATTATTTAATAAAAATTCAAATAGATATTCTACTCAAAATTATGTTGACAAAGACTTCAGTTTAACTCGAGCACTTAGATTCTGCATCGTTTATGGCAATCCCTTAGCTCTCCAAAAGAGCAACACAGAAACGTGACTTTTGCATTTTTAATTGAGACTTTGTGTACAGAGTATTCTAAAAGAGGATGATTAATTGTGAACATTATAAATATACTAGTCGTTCTTTTGATAACAGACTGCCATAGAAAGTGTTCGTCTTTTACATTATTTATACACAACCTTGGATTCAATATTCATATTATCAAATATAAGTAACTCATAAGATTTGAACATTTCTTGATGAGCTTCTCTCATGAGAGTCTAATTTTATTCTAGTATCAAGTTGAAATTTGAAAATTAGTTTCCTGTTTTTCATCAACAAATGAATTGAATATTATTTTGCAAATTCCGGTTAAATTGCAGTACTTTTACAGCAATAAAGTAAGGGCTTGAACTCTTTTCAAAATATTCAGAATTGCTCAGGATTTATAAGATATACATAGGTTTGACTCAATATTCATTAATTAGTTAATGGACTTTTCTCATCAAACAGCGTTTACATCTTTAAAAAGCAGAGAAAGTACTCAAATTGAAACTTCAAGAAGTTAACAAGTAGATAAGCAGTTTCGAAAATTAGAAAGAATAAGAACGACAAGAATTAATCCATATTAAATTTCATAAGATACAGCAACTGATCATATTTGCATATAGTTTCATTTTTGAAAGAATCATTAATGCGTGGAATTTGTTTTTCTCCTTTGTATACGAATTTATATGAACATATTTGGTTCTGGAAGTCTAATAATTTACTAATAGTAGCCATAAATTTCTCAACTATCGAAATAAAAGCATATTCTTATTCAAATATTGTTTTTCACCAAAAAAAGCAACCATTTTTTTATCATAAATCATCTATTATCAACAGATAAAAATAATTCAATCGTATAGCTATGCCTTTAGATAATTTTTCGATTTTGATATCAATACTCGTTAAATGGTGAATAAGACTTGATTTTGGATTTTTTAAACTTTACGTTGTTGTGAATTATTGAAATTCACAGTTTAAATCTAACGCAAAAACTTATCAAGCTTAATATCAGCAAATATATTCAAATCGAAGCTAATCTTGTTACATGAGAAAAATCTTCAGCTGTCGAGTCTTTTTCGCCCTTCATGAGAAGAAGAAAAGTATGAGAAAAGATAATAGTTTATGCACCTCGCGTACTTTGTCATCGAAATATAATATTTTTACTAAGCACTTTCTAGGAACATGAACTATTTTAATTACAACAAGAAGAAAACTTCTCATAGTAGAATGCGTTCGTTTTCTATTCAGTAAAAATTCTTACCGATTCAGTAAATTTTTAAGAATCCGTGGTACGAGCTTCATTTGATTGATTTCTACTGGTGTTCGATCAACGGGACATATTTTTGTTTGTGATAACCATTCTTCAATACAAGCCTAAAAATAAATAAAGTATATAAATATCACATAGAAAGAAAAATAAGAATTTTCCTTACTTGACAAAAAGTATGCTCACACGTAGGTATTTGGAGAGGATCTTGTAGAACACCACCACAAATAGAACCTGAATATAACGAAAAGAAAAGCAAATAGTTATATGTTGAATTTCTATCAAAATATATACAAATCAATTCTTCATCGATATCGTTGGGAAATCTTTGAATATCGAAGCCCATAGCGCAATTTACAAAATCGACTAGCAATTTCTCACCACATGTTAGAACCTAAAATATATTGAAATAAATGTTTTAAAGGATCATCATTTATACAGATGTGATGTTTTTTTCTGTATCATATATCAAATAATACGTCCCAATTTGATCGTCTTATCGTTTGGTTGATAAAAATGACCAGTTATATAAAAATATTAATAAAATGAAAAATATCGACATCTATAAATTATTTTAACAAAATCAATAAAAATTTAAATGACACAAAAAAAAATTTTAAGCGATATCTATGTCAAATATAGACTCTACTTTTGTTCTTTTGATTCATTATGATACGTAATATCAATTCTTTCAGAAATCAAATCAATTTTATTGAAAAATATTTTTTCTTCAATAATTGTATCTAATTTTATTGAAAAATCAATCAGTCGAGTTTTATATTACTATATTTTATGCTTCAGCGTACGATCATAAAATTGGACTTATATATGAAAGAAAAAAATCTTTTAAATCTTGTAGAAATCATTTTCTATCTTAATTCTTCTAGTTTTTTATTGAATGGTGGTAACAATTGTTTAAAAACTATAGCCTTTAATTGAATAGTAAAACGTGAGTTAACAATGATCTTTCGTCTTAAATGTACCGTCAACTTTCCTAAACATGAATTGACAAAAAAAGGAAAAAGAATAATTTGTTGTCTGATGTATAGATGTGAAAAAGAAGAATTGAACGTGCCATTTATTGATTTACTATTCCTAGTTGATATAAATTCGACACCTGGTCGAAATCGACTATCAGTTTACGAAACGTGCTGAATGATTGTCTCATTTAAAAGGAGAGCAATGAAAAAAAACGATTTCATCTATCTTTCATATGTACAGAAATTAGACTAAAAAACCTTTCTCTGTTAGTAGAATTGAATAATCCGTTATCAATACTAAAGACGTACACTATTTATTGATAAACATGTCATTTATTATTGACATTGTAATTGGAGATGTCTTTTACCGCTTCATCTAGTCAATATTTCAATTCTTTCATCTGAAGTTGATCGTGAATGACAAGTTTCAATCACTTTTGTTAGTGACATACCTAAAATAAAAGTTGTAAGAGAAGCTACTCTTCTCTTCATCATGTCAGTAACACAAACAGGGATCTGTTGATAATGCGTTTAGAAAAAACTTCTAAATTTTCTATGAATGTTTAGCCTAGGTCTAGATTGATTTCGATCTGCTTTTTGTCCTATTACGAGCAGTGAGCTAATGAAAATGTAATTAGTTTTTACTCCTTTTTTCTTCTTCTTCTTCTTCTTTTTCTTTAGTGTCATTCCGACGCCGTGAATAAGATAATCTTTGCTTTGGGCGTCGTATTGTGTCGCGTGTCTTTCCTTTTTTTCTTCTTTTTTTTTTTGAAGTAGAATGGTGAGTATTGAACTCAGGTGGGAACAAAAAAAAACCATCAGCTTAAAGACCACCCACTTATGTTACTGTTTGCATTATTCTAGTTAAAAATAATCTAACTCATCCGATCGAAAATGAGAATTCAGACTAATCCGCTTATTATACAAGCTTGCATATACAACTATGATCTATATTGATGCACTCAGCATGAAATGGAACATATATATATCTTTAAGGAAAAGAAAGCAAGAGAATAGAAGAGAAAATAAAAGAAAAACTCTCCTGTTAGTTACAGTTTAATTATCATCAAATGATTTTCTTTTATCTATATGTGAACATTTATGAAGAAATCTATATTTATGTATGTTTTTTTAGTCGAATGTTCCTACGTAGTATAACACCCAACATGAGCTTCTCTTCGGCGATGTATGTTGATCAAGAAAGAAAGAAAAAAATGCATATTCTCATTGATAGACTTTTGTTAATCCTTTCCATTCTTATTCTAATGTAGAAAAAAAAAGAAAACCTAATTGATGTCAAAAAGAAAAAGAAAAAAGAGAATCAGAATGACAAAGTCGAGCTTTTTCTTTCTTGATTGACTTTTCATATAGTCCTTTTACTTTATTGACAAATAGGCTAATCTTTCCACCCATCACAATATGTCAACATTCATCATTCCATCCAATTAAATACCTTTTCATTTATTTAACAGCTTTTTTTTCTACACTGTTCGCTTACAAACACAATATTAATTGAAAATTTTAAAGTTTTGATGATGATGATGATGGTGTGCATTTGTCCATCCATTCATAAATTCTTCACTTGTACGTCCGTACATTGCTGGTGGTTGAAGAAAATCCATTTCTTGATTTCTATATGTATTTCCATAGATTGTTGGATTATTTGTTGTTGGATCATTACTATAAAAAAGTGCTTGATTTGGACTATAGGATGTTGGATACATATGATGATAGGCAACAGCTTGTGATGACCATGCAGCTAGAGATGCAGCTGCTGATGTTGTCGAATTATCTGAACTTGTTCCACCGTTTGTACTTGATATTGATGACGGTGAACGATGATTAAGACGAATATTCGGACTTTTAACTTCACGTTTACAAGGTGATGTTTCATGTTTTTCAAGTAAACTACTATTTGATGATGATGAAGATGAAGGCTTTTTAATTGCTTTATCTTGCTGACGACATTTTGCACGACGATTTTTAAACCAAACCTAAACATTAAAATTAAATCCAATAAAACATTCATATCGATGAAATTAAAATTTTCAAAAAATCTTTTACTTGTATTCTCGATTCAGGTAAACTTATTTTCATAGCTACTTCCTCTCTCATAAATATGTCTGGATAACGCGTTCGAGCAAATAATGTTTCAAGCTGATCAAGTTGTGCACGTGAAAATGTTGTTCGTTCACGTCTTTGTTTCCTTTGCGATGCAGCATTATATGATAATGCTGAATGTTGACTAAACCCAAATGAAAATGGATCCGTATAACCAAATTTTAATGTTGATGGATCGTTTGCCATCGATGCATAATTTGAATAATAATCACCTAATGGTGGTGAAGAATATTTCGTTTGACTATTTACAGAAGCCACTTTTGTTGCGGAAAAAGAAAAAAGAAAAAGAAAAGAATATTGATTGAAACTTCAAATAGACGAGAACTGATGATGAAAAATATTCATTCGAACAGGCACAATCTTGTTGCAAGAGAAACCAACATAAAGAGAGAGAAAGAAATGAGTACGTCACGCGATGATCGTTAGTCGATGTTGATTGACAAGTATTATGTGGGAATATGAGAATTTTCTCGCTTTTTTTTTTTTTTTTTCTTTTCTGCTTGTCCAATGAGATTTTTCTCTACGGAAAAAAGATTGTGGTGCATAAACCAATGAGAAAAAAGGATTAAAACAAACCAATGAAAATAATTTCATCGATGCTTCTTTAGAAGTTTCGAAAAAAGAAAAATTGCCAGTATAAATGATGTATACAAAAACTTTTGTTGCGCTCAACAAACGATCAAACATCTCTTGAAATCTTAAATAACTGGATTGCAATTTATTTTTGTAAACAACAAACTTGAATTTTTTTTGATACCACTAGCCATTGGTGTCGAGTGAGTTTGCTTATTACAAAAAGAATAAATCCTCACTTGTTTTTAATAGACACTTTCTTTTCTTTCAATTGATAGCTTGAGATGACGGCTTAGTGTATAGTGTGAAGTATATAAATATGTAACTTGTTATGACGCCAACATCATCATTAAGTGAAAATTGAAAAGCATTGCTTAAGGCATTTGTTTTTTTTCTTCTCTGAACAATTCAATTATATCTGTTCCGATTTTATTTGGAGCAATTGAATACTATTGACTTTACTCATCAAATGATATGCATAAAAACGAAAGATAATCTTCAGACATTCTCGCATACCACGAACATAAATACGTTTGATCATCTGTGTACATACTTATCAAATATATATATATATATATATTTGTTTACTTACATTTATAATATGTTTTATTTTCTAGGTTTTATTGACATGTGTGGCAAAAAGAAAAGGAAAAAGATAACAACAACAACAACAACAAAAGCAATTAATTAACGATTTTTTTTCAGAATGTGCGTGACAATGGCATGCACACATACGCACACGTCAATCACAGTTGTCATATACCTACATGTCTCTCGACATTCATTAGGGAACATCAATTGAGTATTTATAGTAGATTTAATATGATGGAAGGTGGAATGAATGAAAAAGACAAGAAATGGATATTTTCTTTTCTTCAACTAAATCTCAGCCATTTATATCGAATAGTAATAACGGAATAATGAAAAACCATTTCAATGGTTAAAAATAGAACTTTTTAGATTTGTAAAACAAGGAACTGATCGTATTTTAGATAAGCTTTTAAGCTTTTGCAAGTCAAGTTTATCGAAGTTAACATTCATTCGAGAAACATAGAAGCAAAAAAATATAAAAAATAAATCAAGATTTGTTTTTTTTTTGAAAAAAAAGTCGAAGAGATTGATTATTATTATTTTTCTCGCATAATTATAGAAATTTTACACTAAAATCATTTAATTAAAATTTCTATTCGAATATATTCGTTAAAATCAAAGAGAGCTTTGCTAAAAGAAAGTTCAAAATGGAATTAGTTTATCTTAAAATCAAATACAGTTTTCAACATCGAATATCTAGGAGAAGGAAATAATTCAGAAAATTAAAGGATTTTTCTTGAAATGAACAACCCAATTAGCACATCAAATTTCTATCAAGTTTTGTTAAGAACAGATAGTATTCTGACATGAAGCTAAGACAATTTTTTAGATATTTTGAAACCATATATATATCTGAATTATAATGGAGAGTATTATAATATAGAGATTATAACTGTGCTAAAAGTACCAGTTTCAAATTGTTAAAACATTTTAGGTGATCTGTTTAACTAGACTATTGTGAAAGCCATGTAGTTTATTGAAGGATTTATTTTGGAAAGCTGGAATATTTGAGTTGATACCTTCAAGATTATGCTTAATAGATATTAATTAAATTTGATTAATTATTAAATTAAAGAAACATATTTTAGTTGATCTGATTGGAACAATTCATTTCCGTATATTACTCTTTAAGATTCAATATTTAATCATCTGAATGTTAAAATCAAATTCATTTTTGATATCAAAAATCTGTTCGATACTAAATTCTTATGAATATTCAAGAAAATCCTTTCAAATAAGAAAAACTAAGTTATTCTAGAATTTAAAGAAGTCTTGCAGTAAGATTTGAATTTATACTAAACAAAAGAAATTCTTTTTACATGATCGTAATAAATCTTGTTAACCTTTTGCATTTCATTCAAATGACAAAAAACAAGAACAATCGAAAACAATTAGATTTGTTTATTTTGCTTTTGAATTCGAAATTTTCTTCGATGGAAGATTTCACGTTCAAATTCTGATTTCATTTTCTGCTTGTTTATTTTTCAATAAAGTTTCAATTAGATTAGAAGTATTTAAAATCATGTAAAAATTCCTGTGGAAATGTCTGTCATATTTTGTTATACAATTGATTTCGACGATCGAAATAATCAATATTTCGAGAACTGTTATGTTGTTCTTGACTAGAACTTGAGTTATTTTCAATTGAATCTATATAATTCTCTCCGTGATCAACATGAGATTTTTTTCTTGATGTTTATTTATTGAATGAAAACACGAAAAAACAATAACAACAGATCGTGATTTCCTTCTTCACTTTTAAGTGAATAATTTTTCAATATTTTGTTTTAGCGTTTGAATCTGTTGTTTTAATTGTGAACCTTCGTTAATAGTGATGCTTGCACTTATAACTGGACGTGTTACACCACAAGCGCGACCTAGTGCTTGTTTACTACGTAAAAATACGTACGGAACATTTTTATCCTCACATAGTAATGGTAAATGCATTAAGATTTCAATAGGTGTTGTATCTGCAGCCATTACTGAAATCAATTTTTTTTTATATTGAAAACATCAAATAATAATTAAATTTTTTTTTGTTTTTATAAAACTTACTTATCAGTTCTGATTTTCCACGATTGAGTGTTTTTGTTGCTTCATTTGCACCTTTTCGTAATTGTCGCTATTAAAGAAAGAAAGAAAAACCATAAAGTTCGAATAATTTATTTAATAATTGAAATTTACATAATTCTGTGCTTGATGAACAAGATCGAGAATATCTTTTGTAAGTTTAGCATCAGCTAGTGGATAAGCTTTAGGATTAACATCACCTTCTGATGACATTTTTTATTGTCAAGTATCTGAAAATAAATATAAATTAAAAGTTAGACAAGTTATTTCATAGAACACTTTATTCATCGTCTGGATTGAATCTATTTATATTAAAAATTGTTTAGAATTATAGAAAAAATGAAGTCATCAGAAATATTTATAAAATTCAAATGGTCAAAACAATCAACTGCATAGCTGAAAAATATTTTCTACTATCTTACGTTTTCATATTTGTTCGAATGTTTAAAATATTAGAAAAGTTTAATTCAATGAATTATTATATGTCACTTATAATTTATTGAATTTAACACAATAGAAAACGTATATAACTATTAGAAACTATTCGATTTCATATAACAGCTACGAATATATTCCTGTGAGACTCTAAAAGACCTCGCATCTACGATTTTTTAATGTAGACTTATAATCGTTTTGATCAAGCCATTACCTATGCGAAGATATTTTCGAAAAACTCAAAATGAAGAATATCGACTACAACGTTTCGTTCCTAGACATATTTAATAGTCACTCGATACTACTGACACATGTATTAGAAATGAATACATTTCTTGAGAGATTAACTTTGCTGTGTTTTTCTGTAGTATGTTACAAGTTATTTTTTTGGAAATTGAATATTTTGAGAAATACACAAGTGTCTAGTTTATCGATGAGTAAAAATTTAGGCTGACTTTTTTCATTTTGAATTTTTCAAAAATGTGCTACTCTTACTAAAATTTTCATTGAACATAATCATAACTTTTCATCCAAAAGTTACACGTGTTCTTTTGTTAGATGCGGATTCAGTTACAAAGTAATATTCTACTATCAAAATAAATATAAATAAAATTATTTTTTAATTCAATGATTTCTAATGAAAAACAAAAATGTCATTCCGTCCTTCATGTTCGAATCCAAATGATTGGAGTCGAAGTCGTCCGAACGGTAAAAATCGAAACTAAATTAAATCCCGATAAAATATTAGACCCAGTCCACCGAGTGGCTACAGTTATAATTCTTTAGTTTGCTAAGAACTGGTAAACTTGATTAATGTTTAATCATTGTGAATTATACTCTAATTAATTCTAGAAATTTTACTTTGATAAAAAAACTCAAAGTTTTTTTATTGATGAATAACTTTTGCAGTATTCTGAAAACTCAACTCAACTCTCTGATTCTAGTAAAATTTCAATGTTACTATCAGTAGCGATTACTATCACAACAGAATCAAATCTATTCATGGAATTGAAAACTGATATCATCAATCAGTTTACAATCAGACTTATTTCCAAATGAAACATACCGCAAATATTTATTGTAATTTGAAGAGTTAAGATAATCTAGAATAATAATGATAGAAAATTTATGTTCTTTTTTTTTTATTTAAAAAAAATGAAATCTTAAGTGTTAACATTAATATCTAGATTTGAATCATCGTTTAGTTTAACTTTTTTTTTCTTTTTCTTTTTCTTCTTTTTACGTTTTTTCTTAACTACTTCATTTTGCTTTTCACTATCAGTTGTTGATGAAGCTTCACCACTTTCTTTTGAGCTCTTCTCTGATAATGAATCATCAGTAATATTTGGAGATTTAATTTCATCATCTTGCTCTAAAGCAATATTTTCATTGAATTGATCTTTATTCGTTAATTTTTGATTTGTATCTGATAATAATGGGATAAAATCTTTGCAACGTGATATTAAATCACTACTATCGATACGAATTGTGGATGGTGCTGGACGTTCAATGATTTTTTGTGTTTTTAAATTTTCATTATCATCTTGTTCTTCATCAAAATAAATATGCTTCACAATACTTGAAGAAGTTTTTGAATTTATGGGCTCATCATTTGATGATGAAGCAGCCTCATCACTCATTTGAAACGACTTTTCTTAGAATTAATGAAACACAGAGGTTTTACTGTGTGGAAAGGGACTAATATTTTAATGACCAATCCCATGAGCCAATATCATTGTGAATGAATGTCGAAAACAAAATGCATTAATGCATTGATAGTAACGATTCGTCAAATAAATACGAGAAAATAGAGAAAATGAAAATGAAATGAAAATTGATGGAATTCAAATTTCTTAATAAAAAATTGATTAAAATAAGAGTTCGAAAATCGACTCTTTTTCAGTTGTATGAAGAACGCTACAACTAAACTGTCCGGTCTAGAATGGAAGATCTTGTTCGACTTGATAGCCTCATCTCATCAGAAATTAAGCTTGAGCCTAATCGATTTTCCTATGATTATGAGAAATTTTGATCGAATTTAAGCCTAAATTAAAAATAAAAGTCTGATTCAACTAGTCAGAAGATATTTATAAATCGAATACGATTTCAGCACTGTTATACTGTTTGTGAATCTATGGGCATTGTACATGTTAGTTTTCTCGGATATCTTATACTACGTTTAAAGTCAAATGAGGAGAAGAAGTTTCCATCGCTTTTTCACTTCATCTATATTGATATTTTGTTTTTAACTTAATTTCTTAGCATAAGTTAACTTTTAATAGAGATAATGCCATAAAAGGTTTGAATAGAGTAAAGAGGAACGAGTGCTGCAGACAATGTTTAGGCAAAAATGGATTGGTACCCATGTTGGAATAATTTGATATCTGATGAAAATCAAAAGACTCCCCTAGAAAAACTTATAGAGGCTTTTGAAAGCTTTCTATTCTGCCTCAGATAGCTAAGTATCACATATGTGAGCCTCTCCAAAATAATTCTTAAGACGTCAAAATTTACTAAATCATTTGAAAATTCAATATTTGCCTTGAATTCAATGGAACACAGCAAGAAATCACAAAACTATTGTAGATTATGAGTGATGGCAACTACTATGATTCAAAACAATATTTTAGACTATTGGGGATTATTGAATTTCTTTTTGATTAAAGTGCGTATTGGCGCCGGCTTAGATATCTAATCATTTATGATAGATAGAAGATAAGTGACATTTGAAGCTCACGTTTTAATGTCACTTGAGTACTGATTTATATTTATCATATGACAAAAAAACAAAGCAAAACATAGGAATAGTACGAATTATAATCTTCGTCAAAAGTACAAACTTTAACTAAATGGCAATCGATGTGATCATTTCTGTAGCTTTATTATTATGAGTGAGCAACAACGGCAACAATTGAAAACGTTGATTAAGCAATGCATTCAACGTCCCCAAGATATTGAAATATGCATGGACAAGATAATTAAATTGTTCACAACTGATGAAGAACATCAACTGATTATCAATGAACGAACTTCGGAACGAACTTCGGAACGAAGCATGAGCCTATTCGATAATGGCATCTCTCTAATAACTTTACCAAAGAATCAGCGTCGTCGTCGTCGTAATACATATAATGAAAAGGGCCTGGTAAATAATACCGATACTGTGCTGTATGACAATCGTGATATTGATTAATGATTATTTTTTCATGTCGAAACACTTCTTGTTTCGTATATTGCTAATATCTTTCCAATAATGTATGTTTCTTTTTATTTTAAGCCTAATATGAGTTGATTTTTGCGATATAAATTCAAAGAATCTACTTATATAATCAGTATTGAACTGAGCTAAAGATAAATCATGATTTCTCAATAGTTTACTTATTATTTTTCATTTTCTTTGCTTCGTAATCTACTTGAATTAAAAATTTGTCATAACTATTTTAGAACACCGTTCTCTACAAGTAGCAACCTAATTCGACTTTGGATATAAATGAAACAAAAAATAAAAACCACTTCTGTCTTTTGACACCATCTTTGCAAAACAAAACTTTTCTGTACGGCAAAAAACCTTACTAAAACAGCAACACAACCACACAATAGATTTCATATAATTTATAAATTCGAAGATTTCACCCATGTTGAAAAGTAGAAATAGATAAAGTTTGTTTTAATTTATAAATCTACGTGTAAACTCAAAGGCGTCTCCATAGGATCCATCAATGTGTGTGTAGTCGAGTGGGTCTTCGTTTTTGGCACTCACATTCCAAAGATTTCTCTCAGGTCCTTCCGACACTTATACTCTTTCTTTGGGTGTGCCTTCTAATCTATGAATTGCTAAATTAGAATAATTATTTCTATTTCTATTTCTATTTCTACTGCTATCTTTCAGCAGAGCTGCATCGTTCAATAAAGTTTTTTGTTTTGCTTTAAGAATTGTTTCGACATGAATATCGTTGTATTAATTTATTTTTGAACTGTAAAACGCAATTCAGATCTCTATTTATATTCGAAGTTGAATTAGACATCTCATCTTTAGTTTTGAAATAGATACATCATGGACTTCGCAAAAAAAAACCAAATAAGATATTTGTATGAGATAATGAAAATCGTAATATTTCTAATGAATTTGTTGGTGAATTGTACGAACTTGAATTTATTGAGATATATTTATAGCGTAAATTTAATCGAATTTCTATACAAAAAAAAATGAAGAAACTGATATTTTCGCTTGCTCAGGGACTTTACTGGTCTTTGAATTCAAGTAAAATTGGATAATGATCAGAAATATCACCAATGTCATCAAAAACAATAGCAGGATAATTGACTAAACCTTTCAGCGATGCTGAAATAACAAAATGATCTATCAATGTTTTGTTGTGGGTGCCATCCTGTTTCATACCAACTCTAGTAGGTTTCTCGGTTTTGATAGGATATAATTGATGAGTACCATCTTTATCAGCTGTAACCTCAGCAATCATTTTCATGAGAGTTTCTGAATAGCGATTCATATCACCAACGCACACAAACCCGTTGCTGTTTTCAGACCACGGTATATTGCTCAGTAATAGAGTAGCTGCTTGGTTGTCATATGGTACGTGTACATTTACAACTGTTAGTCCAGATGTCGTCATCAATGTAAGAGCACCTTTACCAGCATCTGTAGGACAAGGTGTCCAGAGTACTCGATCGTCAGGATAAATGTGCTGTGTAGAAGAAACCAAACACGGATTATAATGAATTGTAACAAGACTTTCATTCGGGTCAACGTACGGAGAATCTCCCTGTCTATGCATAAGCATTGGTTTCCGTGAGTAAACGTGTATGTGAATCAATGGTTTACTTGTCAAACCCAAGTCAATATGGGAATCAGACATTTCAATTAACATTGGGAGTAAGTCGCCAGGAACTTCCTGCAAACATATGAAACATTCCATGGTGGAATGATCACTTAATAGCTTTCTTAATACTTTTATAATGTCGTGAAGTCGTAGTTTTTCATTAGACAAGTTTTCATTAATTGAATAATGATTAAGCACTAAGCTGAGGTTTGGTACATAGTTCAACTCGTGTATAATATGCAACACATTCCAGCTCATAACAACGAAATTCTGTGATGGTTTCGAATGCACTATGCCAATATCGTCGTTCACAGAACAGTTCACTCCAGTTGCCATGGATGCAAGAAGAGACGAAAATGAAGATACGATAAAAAAAGAGAATCTTAAAAGAAAATTCGATTTTAATCACCACTTTGTACAAATGATATATCTAATGCAAATGAAATATCAAATTAACGAATGTTTTTTTGTTTATTAATGTTTTTTTACATCGTCTTTTGCGTTCTAGAATCATAGAATTGAATATTGTCACATATAATAGTATAGTGTAATAACTCAACATTACAAAGAACTACTTCGGCCAACTAAGTATAATAAATTAGAATCGATTTATTATTCAAATAAACATAATACTCACGTTTTATCTAAAGATATGGTATAATGGAAAAAAATACAGGTTTTCTAGCATAACATTGCGATCATGTAAAAAGTTTATACAATGGCTTGATTTAAATGAACTACAATATAATCATAAATTAGTCCATAATATGCATTTGAATCAGTTCACATCAACATCATGCCTATAAATTCAATTCAAAATACATTCTATAGAAAAATATATTTCACCACATAACTTCATTACGCACAAAAATCATGTATTGTGAAATTATGAATGGGCCATACTTCCTCATGCACTTCTGTTCTCCTACGCGGTACGAAAAGGTTGTCACATTTTTTTCTACTTGTGCGCGAATAAAATTCTGCCGTAGTAATCGACAGAACGAAAAAGGCTCCAAGGTATACAATAATGCTTATCGAGTCGTTACATTGCGGAGGTTAGCTAATATAGGAGAGAATGAACTTTCATTATGATAAAATTTATTCATTATGTTGAGAAGAAGTTTTATTGAGTACAACATAATTGAGGGATTATTGGACTTTCTTGACCATTTTCAATCTAATAGCATTGTATAGATAGAAAATGGTGTTAAAACAACAGCAAAAGATCTACTTATATTCATCGGAATCTGTAAATCATGATACAAATCAATATTATTATGAAATAGATGATTAAGAACAAAAATAAATAACACTTATGAACTACAGTGTACCTATATTAAATGATTAATGTCAATGATAATTAGTTCATAAAAGCACAAAGTAACATCTTTTATATCTACTTATTGTGATTAGATTGAAAATAGCCGTATAAAAGTAGACATCTTTTTATGATATTTTATTTTTCGCACAAGTAATACGAATGCAAGATACTGCCTGTATTGGTTTTCCTAGCTAATTATGATTTGATGGCAAGGTTTTAATTTATTTCGAGAAGAAACTTCAGTGAAGATGGTTAATATCAGATCTTTAGTAAATAAAACAAAATCAGAACAAATGGCCAACTTGTGGTAATATTGTAAATATTAAAAATTTGAAATCACCTCTTTAAAAGATTACTTTTTAAAAGTTTGCTCGTTGTCTGAATGAATGGAGTGTCAGGTGAAGAACGAAGCACACCGTATTTTACTCGTTATCTGAGAGTAACAGTGTGAGTTTGATATTAGTTCAGGCTTGCTCTTTATCGTTATTATCCATTGAAGAGATGCTTGTTGGTATCGAGCTCGATTACAACGAATACAATGTGAAAAGATTTGTCACGATGCTTTACATGTTGAGAATCAAGAAAGTCTAATTTCACCAGCAAATATCATATGTTCGTGCAATGTGCATAAAGAATATTTAATAGTTATGGTAGTAAAAGAAACAATTGTTTCTTTGTCTGACAGACACTTCAGCTAATAACAACAAAACTTTTCGTTTGTTTCATCGTCAGCATGTCGGCTTCATTGTTGTCAGAACACTATTTCATTGTAGTCGTATTTGATGAAAGAATAGAAGTATTAAGATTATTCTGAAATTAAATTAAATTTTACTAATCTGCTGATAAAATTTATATTGCAGTCAAAGGAAGTGTGATGTATTCATAACTATTGTAGATGAATCATCTCAGATGTTTTTTCTTGACCGAAACCTTGCAACAGTCGTTGAAACAACATATTTAGTTACCGTAGACATTTTTTATCCTTACAGATGAAAAAACAGATTTTTTGATGTTCTAGAAATACTTTCAATTTATTGTGTAAAAACAAATAATGGTATTTATTTTGAATGGTGACTCACTAAACAAAATCATTCTGACAGCGACGTAATTCATTTTAACCAGATTATTGTTGAGTAATGAATAGCTAAGCAGAAGTTATTTTCCACAATATGAAAGTGGAGCTAAAGTTCGACTAAAATGGCGAAGCGCATTGCTCAACAATTTTTCGGTTTGACGAAATGAAGTTTGCGAAGCATTTTGGCTAGCAAAGGAAATACTTTTTTCAACACCACATATGTCCAACGATTCTAAGTTTTTTGATTCTACTAATTGTGTCATCAGTTGAGGATTTCCATAAACAGCTTCGCCATCAATTAAGACAAGTAAAACATCTTCAGGTGTAGAATGTGTAGCAGTCCAATACGGATTGAATTTATTATGATCACTATTAAATTGTAGCACGAGTACATCAGCTAGATATCCTTCTTTTAATGCACCCAAGCGTTTCTCTAGATGGACTAGTTTAGCAGGATTTATTGTAGCCATGTCTAACAGTAAATGATCATCGAAGAGAGAATGCTCTAAACCACCGTTCCAAGTAGTGGCATAGTTCAGCTCACTAAGTAGGCCATCGCTACCAGTAGGACTCCAATCGGGAGCAATAGCTGTAATAACACGACTTTCTAATGCTGCTTCTAGATTAGCTGTATCACCATAGAGTGCTAAATTACTACGTGGCGACCAGATAAAACCAACACTAGCATTGGCCATATCACGAAAATCATTTTGTTTTAGAGCAACACCATGAATGAGTGATACACCGGGTCTAAGTAAACCTCGAGCCTTTAACATAAGAAACTCCATTGCTGCTGTTGCATCATTCGGTGAACCTTCCGCAAGATGAATTAATAATGTACCATTTGAAGATAAAACTTCGTTTGTCTCTTTCAATTTCATATCGGTCATCAACAAAGGGAAAACATCATAAAGAATCTGTCCTAATGTCGAGTCATCATCAAGATTCCGTGCTAATCCTCGATTACATGGCTGTCTTAAACTACCGATCAAACTTGTCACACCTTGTGTAATGGCTTTTACTTCTGCATATCGTTGCATTTCACATGAGAGACCTGCATCAATCAGCGCTTTATGAGGAGATTGCAATAGTGTTCGATAAATTGCTTTTTTTTGCCAATCATAACGACTACCAAATTCTTCTACAGGTTTCCAACGTGGTAAAATATTCCATGTTAGATGATTGTGTAGATCAATAAGTCCTGGTAAAATAACACCATTAGTATGTACAATAATCGCATCATTTGGGATGAAAATATTAGTACCCACTGCCTTGATGTATCTGTCGAATATCAATACTGTCCCATTATCGATACTTTTATCCGGCAAGATTATGGTACCAATCAATGCTATAGGTTTTTCTTGTGCCCGAATAAAGATAGGCAAGATCAATAATACGAAATAATATAACTGATGAAACATGCTTTTTTTAAAAATTGATCAAAATTGACGACAGATGATATTTGATGATATATAGATAGAAAAAAAAACATTTGTAAATAGTCATTGTTAAGCAATGCTGTTGTGTTATCAAATATTTATCCATTTTATGTGTGCGTTAAATTTGAATCGGATTATGGATGCACTTATATTTCAAACAATATGTTGAATGTCAGAAACACGCATATTATTTTCATCAGCTTAATAAAATTGTATGTGTTAAGACGAGTTGATGAGAATGATATTTGGATGTGCAGTACAATATTTGTGTGAGACATTTTTAAAAGTTTATGACGCAGTTTTTCTATTTGTATTCATGCCAAAGTGCATTTTTACTATGCTACGTTCATATAATTATGAAGAGCAATTATTATAAAAAATATTCTGGATGCAACTATCATTTCAATAGTCACCATGATAATTAGCTAAAATTATTTAATAGAATACCGAATAAATTTAGAATTGATTTTGAGTTCTATAAAGAATTTGAAAAGATCACCTATCAATGCGCTTCTAAAGTTAATAGTAATATTGGTCATAGCATAGGCGCACAAGTATTTGAAGAGAAAGCGATCATCCACGGTTACATCGTAACACTTAAAATACAAAAACAACAATTAGAAAGTGTTGAGAATAAAGAGCTGATCTAGGAGATTGATCTTAAATAATGATTAACTTAAATTTCAGCTCAATGAAATCTTAGCAATATTTAGTCATTTGAAAACAAAATTTGAGCGTATATTTATTTCGGTAGTACTTTTTAAGTCAAAATTAACCCGGTCTTCGACTTTGACTTTGACTCATCCATAGATGATATTTATACATTCAACATAGTAGTTTTATTTAATTGATCTTCCAACCACACTCGATATTTGCTTGTTTATCGCTTGAAATTGGTCGGATGTTTCTACAATATGTGTCACTTTTATAGCACAGAATTAAAGAAAGGACTTGAAATTATGGAACAGTACACAGTAGAAAAAATAATAGTGAGAGTTTTCAAAACAAACTTCAGATTCTTATTAGAAAAAAATTAATCGCAAAAATACTATATCGTTAGCTATTTGTATAAGACGCTGATTGAAGTTTGAAACAAGTATTGTGTTATTGAAATCTATTCAATATAATTTTTCTTGACAGAAAACGAGAATAAATGAGATTGAAAAATAACAGTTTAAGAGACGAGCAAGCAAATGAAAGATAAATGTCAAAGAAGTTTGTCATATTTTTGTAATATTCTCTCTACGCCATATGTATGTATATATACAGAGAGGAGTTTTCGACGGCAGTCGATGAAGGATCATTTAATGGTTGAATCTTTTCTTTACTATACTTATATGATCAGCGATAATAATTCACTTCAAATTGATTTTATTATCATATTATTTCAATTAATCTTGAAGTAAAATTTCAAAATTGAGTCTACATTTAAATGTATTCTGTGCTCAGAACAATACAGAATAGATAATTAGCTTTAAAACAAAGCAATAAAACATTTGTTAACTGTGTTGAAATCTCATCTTCAAAGTGCGATAAGAACAACAGTTTTTAAACAGACTTTTCTTTCAAAGAACAACGGTAAATAATAATAATTGTGCTTGTATGGAGGAAAGAAAGCGACATTTGTATGGTTGAATAAAATAACCGATATAAATTTTGTTAAAACTTTTTCCAGCATTTCGTTTTTCATTTGTCATGATTTGTGAGTAGATTGAAAGTATAGGTGAAAAGTTGAATAGTGAAACATTTATAAAAAAAAATCTATCGTTATTGAAATGCAAGATTTTATGACAGAAATTCGAAGACAATTAAGAAACTATGAAACTATTCTTAATGATGATGTTAAAGAATTTGATATAAAATTAAATGCTATTCGAGATAACCTATCGAATTATATTCAAAGACAAATTCAATATTTGGCAAATGTTGAACAACAATATCAACAAGAATTTAATTATCTCGACGAAGAAAATAAAAAAACATCAAAAATTAATCGACAACAATTTGATAAATTATGTTTATCAATAAATCAATACGATGATAATTCGAAAATAGTAACAAAATTACTCGAAAATTTTCAAAAAACATTTCCTTTGAGACCAATTATGTTAAAATCAATACCTGAATATGAGTATAAAGATATCCAAATAAATGATTTTATTAAAAAACAAGAAATAGATGAAAATAGATTTGAAAAAAACTTAACACTGCCAACAACTAACTATGAAGCTGTCTCTTCTACGTTGAATGATGACGTATTAACTGAGAATAACGAACAAGACGAAAATTTTAATACATATCGAAATAGCCCATCAGAGCTTTTACGGTAAATTTTACATTACAATGAAGCATTCAATCCTTGTTTTTCTTTCTCTCAAAATAGTTCATCTAATCGATCTCCATCGGTTCAAGAACATTCATTTATTACAACGGAATCATCAACTATACAGAATACACAAATCTCCTCATTAGTATCAGGTTCAATAGGTTTTTCCTATCATAAACAACTTGCTTCACAGTTAAAACCTTTTTGCTTTAAAATACTTTTTTTTCTAAATGACATAGTTTAGAAACAATGACTATAACCTTGAATCACAATCACGCTTAAGTTCAACTTGTTCAACAAAAGCTGGGCCTGATATGATGATTGGACTTCTCTTTAAAATTCCTTACCAACATAATCGAAATTCTTATTTACTAGCTTATCATGAACGTGAAAACTATCTTCTTATTTACTCGCCATGTAATCATAAATTAGAATATTTATCCTTCCATTCACATCAAATATCTAATGTTAATTTACCATCAGCTGATACTTTATTAAATCTAGGCTATTCTACACATAACGATTTATTTTACTTGAGTAGTCGAAAAAAAAAGAATTTGGTATTATTTCGATTAAATCAACAACAAATAGAAATCGAACGAGAAATTCCATTAGTAGAAAAAAATGATTATCTTATCAATGCACATATGTACAAAAATTTTATCGTCTTTTTACATCAATCCTCATCTAGAGTTAGTCTGGGAAAATATGATATTGAAAAATCATCTTTCCTTCCGCAATTTAATTTCCAACATGAACTTTATGATGAACAAGAACAATCTTCATATGAAATAATGGATTTTGCAATTAATAATATCTACATTAGTTTTTTAATTCGTTTAATAAATAAAAATAAATTCATGATAGTTATCCATGATTTTATTAGTATGGATCGATTGCAATCGTTTGATTTAATTGATGCTATTAAACCGTTATCCATCATTTCAACTGACAGGTAAATGAATTATAGAAATTTAACTTTGTAAATTTTGCTTTCGATTTGCTCGTAGAAAATTGGAATCAACAGCGACGTCTGCGTGTAACGATGAGATAGAAGGATTGTTGTTTGTCAATGATGTAAAAAGTCATTTAATACATTGTTGTAGTCATCAACAATATTTAATACCAATTCAAGTCAATGCTTTTGGAATATGTCCTTTAAACAATGGAAATTTAGCTTTAGTCGCTGGTAAAGATATTCGAGGATTAAATGTTCAAGATTATCTTCAACAAAATAATGTTCAATTCGATTGAAAGAAAATGCTTTTATTCTTATATTTTTTTGTTTTTCGTATAAAATAAATATTAAAAACAATAATAGAAGAATATTTTCGATGATCAAATGTATTATTTTAGAGATAAGTATTACGTTTACGAATGGGACGGTGTGTGCCTATTGATTGTGATTGTAAATAGTATTTTCATCCTAACTCAAACTTATACTCATAGTCCATCTTTAGTCAATTTACAAGTAAAATAAAACTAACAGAAAAAAATCTTTTTGAATATGATGCCTCTTTTGTATAACATGAACTATGATTTAATGTAATTGAAACTGAAGTAAATACTAATGTTAAATATGATCATGATTGTATTGATGCAGCCCTTTTTTGTCGTCATATATTCTCTTCTTATTTTTACCTATGATATCAAAATAGATATTAATTTCGTTGAATCAATTACATTATTTGTGTTTCTTTCAATAAAGCATCTCGTGCTTCAATATCATGGATTCAAGGTTTTTTCTTAGAGACATATGTTACATATGTATGATTAGTTACGTCTGCTGTTTATGCTCTTAGCGTTTCTCAGATCACTCTCGTTGATTATTTTCTTTTTATATGCTCTCTTACTCTTTTTGCACTTCGCTTCATCGATCATATGCAATGAAAAACGAGTTTAGCAAATTTTTGTTTAAAATTCTTCATCAACAATACTCCACTCAAACTATCGTAATATTTTGCAGCCAATTATTTTACCGAAACATTCTAATGTTTTCCGCTTTGAGCGCACATACTGTTTATTACTTTGAAACAACTATATTACGAATGTTTTCTTGATATTTGAATATGTTTTTCTCGTGATGTTATTGTTCTTATTACAATTATGATGGCTAATTAAAGAAATTTAGTTTTTACGAAGTTATTTCTACCATAATCCGGTTGCTTTTTTCCTATTCTATTACATTCATGCATTAAAACGATTGTAATCAATTAATTCTAAAAAGCACTGTGATATTACTGCGACACTTTACTTTTCCAACTAAAAAAAAGTGTTTCATATCCTGATTCTTTGAAAACAAGAACGTTAGCATGTTGGCTGCAGAACCATAGTTAGATGTTTGTGCTCTATTTTGGGTGTGGGTGTGGGTGCGGATCCTGACCTGGGTGTTTCCTCATTCGCACCCACATCCAACATTCTGATTCATATCTACTTATTTATTTATTTGTTAGGACTAACAGAAAAAGAGCAGTTATACGTATTTTATTTTACTGCTTTCTTTTAATTGCAGCGACCTATAACAGGCTTTCAACATATTAGATAATACAAATGATCGTCATAAAATAATATTCAGCTTCAAAACGGTGTGATAAGAGATAAGCGGGGCTTGTGAAGAAAACAGATAGATTTTACTTTTACTCGATAAAGACTCGTGTACACAATATACTTTAACAGGACAAAATAACAAAAGAAAAAAAAATTAAAAACAAGTCTGTGTTTCGATAAAAAGAAAGTATCATCACATCAACAACACAGCAAAGCATGGATAATTCGTGTCCTTTTGAAAATAGCAAGATGAATGAGAAAAATTCTACCAACGAGAACAACTGGGACAAAATTATACCAATTCCAACATATTTGAAAAAAGCGAAATATGGACTTATCGGTTATATGCCAATGTTCTTCTTTATTAGTCCCTATCACCTTGTTGGTGTTGGCCTCTTTGCCTCACTCTTACTCCCGACGATCGCTATCGGAATTCTATCAGTCATATTTGTCATCTATCCTCTAGCGAAACAAATACTTCGTTACTTTAATTGGTTACCTATGCCTCATTCAACAGAAATCCTGCGCACAACATACTCTGCACGTTGTGATGGAGATTTCGTAGTTTTTCTGATCGGCAGTCGACCCAATGGGCCCAACCCTTTAGAAAAATCTTTCATCGAGTTGAGAAAAGCATTTCAAAGTATGATAAAAGATTTAGAATCAGATTCAACATCAGGCTATATGGGAGGTGACCTTTATGTTGGAGCAAACGAACGTAAGAGCAGTGTTTTGTACGTGCAATATTGGCGTAATTATGAGTCACTTCAAGGATGGACCCATAAAAAAATGGGTGTTCATTTCAAATCAGTGGCGCAATACATGAGCAAAGATCGATCTGCGGGACTATATGGAATATGGCATGAAACCTACAAAGTGAGAGATGGAGAATACGAATCCATCTACGAGAATATGCCACCAATCGGTCTTGCTCTAGCGACTTCGGCTGTACCTGAAACAAAGAAGAACAATGGACAAAATAGAATGCAACGTCGAAACAAAGAGAAACAAGCAGAAGTCACTAAGAGTACTTCTGGTACAGAGTAGATTGATGTGATATGTTATAGACAAATGTGGAAAGGAAATTTTGTTTTAAATCAGATTGTTTTTCTTTTAATTTGAAGATTAATCAAGTGTTTTATCGAATTTTCTTGCGATTATTATCAAGACATTTTCCGCTAATAGCTAAATAATAATTTTAAAAAAACGACCAAGTCATCGAATTTCAACTTTAATCGATTAACGAGAACAAATCATGTTGTGATAAATTTTGTTTGATATTACGTCAAATTTTTGTTACCGTTATAAATTTCGTATAATGCTGTCAAGCATATACAGATAAAATGTAACGAACTGATACTTTGCTTTCGATCTTTGGTGTATCTTATTCTGACATGACTTATTTAGAATCAACGATTGACATTTCACGTGATCTATTTTCATATTCTAGTGTTTATATAAATAAAAACAGATTAATGAGTATTGATAAGATGGTTTTATCATTTCTATATTGTGTTCGACACTTGGCAAATTTAACTGACTGGATAGAAGAAATATTTGTTAAAGAGGATTATAAACAAATGATGGACTTATTTCTAAAAATATGAACAATTGCGATTGTTTTGCACAGTGGCTAGCTCAGGAGAGTTCTTTTTCTTTAAGGCTGCTTTGTGTGTTTTGATTGATTTTTCGTTAGGTAAAAACTTTCTCAATTTATACAAAACAAAAGAATTATTGTTCATACAAAAAACCTGAGCACGATTAGTTGACTATTTTTTAATCATTGACTTAGTGTAATTAGGGGTGGCACTCTATGTTAATTTAATATTAAATGTTAAGTTTTAACTTAACACTTAATATTAATAAAAAACGCTTACATTAGCCACTTAATTACTTAATATTAAGTATTAAATCAAGACTTAACTTTTAATATTAAGTGTTAAGTAAAACCACTTAATTAACTCTCTTAATTAAAATCAACGGTTCACCCCTAAGTGTAATCATTAGTTTTCAATTTTAATTGCTTCCGAAATTTCTTTTTGATTGGTATGAATTGTTTTTAAGATTTTAATTGATCAGCTAAATTTTTTTATCAAATAAATTAAAATATTAGTTGAAGAGGTTCCAAATGAATAAAAAGAAAATTATTCATCTTTTTGTATTTTATGTGTACCCATTAATCGATCCCATATCGTTAAAAAACTTCCATAATTCATGTTCGAATGCTGATGATGATAATCATGCTGTAATGTACCAGATAATAACCATGGAAAATAATATTGTGGACTTATATATGGTAAATCATAGCCACTATGAGCGTTGATCGTTTGATAAACACGTATTGCTATCCATAAACATAATGTAAATATATGTTTATCTTTAATTAAAAAAGGTGCAAGCCAAACACCAAGTTGATTTTGAAATATTGATTCTAATGGATGAGCTAAAACAGACACAAAACCTGTTGGTTGTTTAAAAATATGATGTTGTTTATGTATATATTTATATAATAAACGAGTATGAAATAAATAATGTGTCCAATAGAATATAAAATCTTCTGTTAATAGACATGCAATTATTTGCCATAAAATTGTAAGTAATGGTGGAATTGGTGAACGAACAGAAACATGACCATTCAAATTTAGTAATGGATAAATCAGTGATAATGTAAAAATTAAAGATAACTGATGTTTTATTGTTTCATTTCTAATTTCAAGAATTATTTCTGGTTGAAAACGAAGTTTTGGCTTACGTTTTTGTATTCGATATTTTTCAAACATAGGTATATCATGATATTCAATATAGACAAGAAATAAATTATACGACCAAAATACTAATTCAAATGTAACATATATAAAAACGGTAAATGTTAACCATTCTGATGAATAAAAATATTGTTCACATATGTGTGCAAAAAATGTTTTTTCCATTGGTATATCCTCCTCTAGTGATGTTGTATTCATTTTTTGTTTATTAAAATGGCAATGGGTGTGCTTCATTGTCGTTGACATACTATTTTTATATACATTTGTTTTTGTCTGTTCTTATCTTTTTGTCTATTTGCTTAAGAATCTCAAAATTAGCTTCAACTTCTTCTTTTGCAACAATCAAACATTTATGATAACAATAAAAAATGATGTTAACCTGACCGGGACATATGAAACTATTATAGAGTAGACCTCATTTAGAAATTTATGATCGATATGAAGAAGAGATTTAATCGAATTTTTGAAGAGTTTTAAAAAGTTGTATCATAATTATTAGATTAATTTATTGTTTTATTTTCTTACAATAATCGAAACTACAATTTATTCAAAATAGTCAAAAATTTGAACAATTTTTATGGAATCATCGAGTTTAAACTTTTCGCAATCCCTTATAAATGAAAATAATTCTTTAATTTTGATATCGATAATCATATTTATTTGTGTACTATCGATTGGATTCTTATATTCATAGATAACATTAATACTCGCTTGCTGTTTTAACCACAATACACGTTGCACATTATTATTTGAGATTAGAAGTTCAGCCTGAATGGGACCGCCTTGACTCGAAATAAAATGAAGATTAAATTTATTTGAATGAACAGCTAATTTTGTTAATATAGAAGTGAATGTATGATGTCTTGGCACTCGTATGGCATAAAAACCTTTCTTGTTCAAAATTTGCACATTATCAATACGATGATCGATTGAATCTTGAAAATTGAAAACGGTGTCATCAACTTCTTCTTTAGTCTGTTCAATAATTAATTGTTCATATTCGGGTATGATTCGAGGTGAGAAAAATCGTACAAAGAACGATGAAACAATCAAAGGTAGAAATGATATAGTCATAAATATACCAACAAAAATATTCATTTGAAAGCCAGCCGATCGGAGAAGTGTTGTCTGTAAACCATATTTATTTATTGACAAATTAGTTTCAGTCAGAAACAATGACCAAAAATGTACGAGAAATTTGACAAACGGAAAATAATAGAATGGTGTATGATTTAAATATTGTCCAAATTGCATACAAATTCGAACAATCAACCATTCACATGGTCGAAAACAATTCGATTCTGGATTTGCAACAATTTTTTGATAATTTTCATTCCAATCCGCATTAATAACTTGATGTTCTTGTGTTGGTTTTCGAAAAACAATCATAATATCATCCGTTGGATCATCTTCTTGTTCATTATAAACAAATGTATCCTCGAATCCAGCATGTCTTAAACACGAACGCCATTGTTCGATCGTTCGAAATGCTCGAATTTCATTTATTTCAGATTCATAATCAACACCAGTGACAGCATTAAACACCATATGTGCAACATCTAGTAATGGAATCAATTCTTTCCGAGCATGATGTTCTCGAAATAGAAAGAGACCATTTGGACGAAGAATACGATAGATCATTTTGAAAAATAAATCTAATTGGTCTTGTGGTAAATGATGTAAACCCATATAGCAAACAACTAGATCAGTAGATTCACTTGGAATTGGTATATCGGTGAGATTTTTGAAATCGTATGGAATAAAAGTTCCAATTGGAAATAAACTATTTCGTTCGATAATATCTGCTAGACGTTGTTTATCATTGATAAGATATACTTGACCATCTTTAATTTTCAATATTCGACGTAAATCATTGATGCATCGACCGCCGTCGCCTATACTAACGATATTTTTGATCTAAATAACAAAGATTTTAAATAATCTGATCGCTTTTCATCTTAGAATATTTTACTTTTCCACAATAGCCTAGATGTTTGAAGATAGTGATCTGTTGTCGTACGAGATCTTTTACTTGTAGTCGTAATTGTACAATTTGTTTGGCAAGTGCCCATATACCTCGAATAAAAGCAAATTGTCTTGTTCTAAGCGACTTCTGTAAATCTCGATAGACATCATGATCATTTTGATTGGCAGAATTTCGAACAGCACGATTGACATAATTAAAAATTACATAGACCGGTTCTGCATTGAATACAGTATGGAGAAATTTACGAAATTTTTCTCTCAAAACATCATCCGTGATAACATTATGAAATGAACGCATTCGCCGTTGTTCAACCATGGAGGGTTCATCTGTGTTTAAATCCGTTTTTTCAATGGGTAACAAATTCATATGTGTTGTTCGACTTATGGTGGTGGTTGTTTGTTGTTGATAGTTTTCATACCAGTCATTTGAAAAAAGTTCAATCGGATCATAGGTTAATTTCTTTTCGAAAAATTCATTGATCATTGGATATGCTTTTGACATTTGTTCAAATGTATAATGTTGACGATACGGTAAATAAAATGTACCATGGCAATCGAATGCTAATTGAATAAGTTTTTGATTAAGTTCACGCACTTGTTGATCACCTGAATCATTACATGTAATACGAAAATAGAACACAAATGCATAACAATCGTCATTTTTTGTATATGATAAAAATGTCGTTTGATCTTTTTTTACAAAACGTATTGTTAAATTCAATAAGAAAACATGATTATATTTTTCTACAATAATTAATTTCAATTTATCGTACCAGTGTTGAAAGTATGGTTTCGGTATGAAATATTCTTGTAGGATAAATGTATCGTTATATATTGTCAACGGTTGATAAAGAATAGCCATTGGCTTTGCAGACTCATACATTGTTGTATTACGATCTGTTGATAGAGATAAGTCGAGTGGACGTGCAAAGATTTTTTCTAGAGCAAAACGAATTCGTCGAAAAAGCCTTTGTTGCGCAAGGTAAGTGTAGATCAAATGTTGACGCGGTTGCATAACACGTGCTTCTTCATCCAAATCAGCAACTGTACCTATAGTTGATAATTGCCGACGGAAAATAAACATGAGAATATTATTTGGACGTACAAGATCGACACGAGCAATTTTTATTTCAATCGTTGTATCATCTAGATATTCTTCATATAGAGTTGGAAATTGATCTGACTATAATATAAAGAGAAAGACATGTTTTCGTTTTATCGCAGTCAAAGAATCAAAAATCTAGAATTGAAACAATGCGTCCGTGTTAATTTGATTGTTTTCCATCGTCTAAAGCTCAAAATTTGATATATCTATCGTGTTGAAAGTCACGAAGTTAATGAAAAACTAATGACTCGTATTTAGAGATCATCAGATTGGCTTCGGCTCCTATTCCTTCTATTGAATTAGTCATTTCTAAATCAAAATAATACTCGAAATATTTGTACTTGTTTTGCTTTACAATAGAAAAAAAAAAGAATTATGGCGAAAGTCAAAGTAAAAACAACCCCTTTTGTTATTATTGTTTAACATACATATATTCCTTTATCTAATTATTTGCTTTCGATAATTGCATCTCGAACTTTCATAGTCAAATTTCTAAAACAAATGATCACGATCGACCACTATCGCGACGTGCATTCATTGAATGATGTAATTTTCTTCGAACATCTATTCTGTGATCAATGTCAAATCACATGTGTTTCTATTGTGTGACAAACTTATATAAACGAATTTCTTTGACCCTGTTTCTCTAGATGTGTTCATGATTTTTATCATCTTGAACAACTGATGCAATAAATTATGGCGAAGAGCTTACGTTTTGTAGCACTTACTTGTAATCGAATGTATTCCAATGTTGTTTTTATATTTGGTACAGTCATTAATCGCAATCGAGTAATTATTGCAAAAAGTCCATATCCTCCAATGATCAATGAAAACATTTCTTGATTTTTCTCTCGATTACATTCTTGTTGTTTCCCATCAATATCAATATATTCAATGCTGATTACTGAATTATACATAGCATCATCTGACGTTATACCATGTGCATTAACCGATATGGTACCAGCTACACTAAACGTACAATAACTTTGCATAACTACCGGTGATCGACCATAGGAATTGAGATTATGAATAACGTGTGCCCATGTTGCTCCAGATTGAACTAAAACTTCTTGATTTTTACTATCATATTCAACATGATTCATATATTTTAAATCAAAAACATAATTTGTCGATGACCGTTTTCGAGATGGTAATGTTTGTCCACCCATCGTATGAGCTTGTCCTCGTATTGATATGGTTTTATTTTTCGATCGAGCTTCACTAATTAAATATTGAATATCATTGACTGTACGTGGATAAAAAATCGACGATACACAAGTTTTATTCAATTGAGACACATCATCAAGATAAATATTGCCTGTAAAGTCAATTTCATACTTTGTATCAGGATTTAACCATTGGTAACTTTTGTAGAGACATACAAGAACAAGAATGATCAGTATGAATGTAGAATTGATCATAATGTGATACGAGCGAATAATTACATAAGAGAATAATTGAGGAGCCATATTTAGAAAAAATAAAATTAACCATGAAAGTGGTATTGGAATTGTTATCGATAGAATTGAATACAGATTTTTCATTTGCGTCATAAATATTGATAGAATTGTTTTCGAACATCGATAGACCAAACGATTAGTCAAAATACTATAAATACCAAATAGAAAAAGAACAGAAGATATTAGATAGAAAAATCGATAGTTTATCAAATCGTTTTGAATTTCTATCCAATTCATATTCTTTGTAATAAATTGTGTCGTAGATTGCTTGTTTTGATCATCTAATTTCGATTGAAATGGATAAAATTTAAAAATGATTGCAAATAGGAGCATGTAAATTGGTACTTCAATAAGACTGGGATTTTTTATCATTGATTTCACTATTGTTTTCGTCATGAGAAAACATTTTTGAAGGATAATACTGAATTTCGGTATTCCTAATAGGCAGATGATAGCTATAGGAGTAAAGAATGCTATATTTAATTGCCATAAATGATAAGCATAGGACAAATAATCAAAAATAATAGTAAAATTTAGTTGCAGAACCATTTGCAATAATTTTTTTATCCAATCCGAGAGAAAAAGTAAAAACAATGCATATCGAATGTATCTATTATTGATTCGACGTTGTACTTCACATTCCTCACTATTAATAGTTTCCATGTTCGATGCTATTACTTGACGAAACAGTGGCTGAAAATATTGTACCACTCTTTATTCAATATTACAACAAAAAGTAAAAAGAAAGAAATTATTTTCTTGTCAAATGAACGAATGCGCTATGCATAGAGCATCGTAGAATAAAAAGAAGTACGTTTTGAAACAAATCACATGTGTTTTACGCTCGTTCTCTCTTACTTTTTCTCCATAACTACGTTTAGAGGCATAGAAGAAAAAATAAATCGCTCTTTTTTTTGCGTCTTGTTATTATTATTCTTTTTACTATTCTGAAGAATTGAGAATTGAGAAGGGTGCATACAGAGAGAAAAAATAGGTCCCATGGTGACACCCCTGTCAATTGATCGGACGACGTTACATAGATTCCAGTCATCTGATGCATACAGAACTGACGAAAGAATAATAGTGAATCTCACCATTATAACTACTACAAGAAAATGTTGCTTACTTTCTCTCTCTCTCTCTCTCTCTCTCTTTCAGTGAGCTGCAATGCAATACGACTTGTTTTTTTTCAAGGTTAATGTTCTGCATAACTACTTAATAGAGTTGCCTGATTTGTCGTTTTTATTCAAGATCGATTTTCTATGCGGCACGCAGTAACTTTTATAATCTAAGAAATATTTTCAGTAACGTGTCATAGTTAATATAAGAAGGTTTTAGCAGCGGATTCAGAAAATCAATGATGGATGATAGCATGTTGAAGCGAATGATTGTTACCGATTTGCCGAGTACGCGGATTCGTTAGTGCAATCACTACTTTAGACCGTTTATAATCTATTGAATGAGTTACGTTGTAAAACTTCATTTCATAATATAAGCTTTTAATAAACGAATAGAGCATATAGCAGATACATATATGTTCTGCGGCTTTGAAGCTAATTTGTAATCTCTATCTGTTTTTAAAAATGCTTTTTCAATATAAAACACGACAGAATCTTGTTGGAATCTGAATAAAAATAATCATTACGGTCGACATAGAAAGAATAAATGAATACAATTCTAAGATGGTTGAATATTTGGCCTCAACGATTCAAATTGAGACTTAGTTTTCTAATATATGAAGTTACTATAATTGTAACAGTAGGTATCGAAAAAATACTGCTGCTTCTAACAGCTCCAGTCACCTATCAATATTTTGTTGGTGTATAACAATGCATGTTTTGAAAATAAAAGAATGTATTCAACTGATGCTAATGCTGATTCTTAGTTGTTTGTTGCCCTTAGCGATTTCGATCGCAGCTGGTAACTATTTCTTTGTTCGTTATAAGTTAGAAAGTAATAGAATACTACGAGAATCACGATCATTCTGTGTTTTTAATACAGCGTCGAAATACTTTGCTGTTTGATCTTAAATTAATGCATGATCAAGTTTTAGTTTGGTGATTCTGTTTGAAAAAACTTCAATAACTATACAATAGATATAGCGAAGAAAATGCGATGGCCACATTGCTACTTCGTAATTTATCAGCAGGACATCTTCTTGATCTATGTGGGTTTTGATTAGAAACGATACATACAAATGAGTATAGCAGAGAAGTGAAGAAAGTATTCGAAGAGTTCTGCTCTTTTTTTGTACTCCAAAAAAAAGTGAGCACACTATAAAATCGGTCAGTGTGTCCGTCAGGCCGTTTACACGATAACTCTTGAAAGGCTGATCAGATTGTCATGAAATTTTGTACACAGAATGATCTCATCAATATCTCAGTCAAGTTCGAAGATGAGAAGGATCCGTCAAGAAATGGCTGAGTTATCGAAAAAATTGTCATTATTGACCAGACCATTCCTGACGGAGGGGGGTACAGGGA